ACGTATGTAACTATTACTAATCTCAGACTCATTCTGGACTCAAGGTCCAGGTAAGGTATGTTAAGTCGGCCCCTCCCAGCTACCAAACTCCTCATTAGTCTCTTAGTCTTACAGTGGTGTACATTTTATGATTAAATATTTTTATTTGATTTTTTCATGGTTTTTGACTAGGATCATAACAATTTTGTGCGTTAGTCTCTTAAAATAGAACAATTAAAAGGTCTTCAGGTTGTGCAATCTTGAACTTCCATAAACTATTAGCACAATGTAACAAATTTGTTGTGAGTTGTGACTAATCTAGCTCAGCCTCAAATGAGGCAGAATTTAAATTTATGATTTTTTTTATTCGATGAATAATGAATATCAAACTAGCTTTATTTTTAATAAATGAATGTAAACTTCAATCTATTTTTTGGTTTGATTTATACTTTATAACAGAAACTATTACGAATCGTGACAGTCGGGTAAAGTTATAAGAACAATATTTTGACGATGCTATAATTTGACAGGAAAAGGTTCTATTATGGATGACGCAGAAATATTGGAGAAACTCCACTACAGAATCTGCGATGTCTTACTGGCGACAGTATTGAGTGTTTGCTTCTTGGTGGGATTTCCAGGCAACATTTTGTCTCTGAGATACTTTCTTTCTAAACCAGGACGAAGCTTGTCAGTTAACTTGTACATAGCATCATGCTGTATCGACTGTGTTACCAGCATCTTCCACCTGCCTGTAGCTGCAGTTCTGTTTAACCAACGGAACCCTGGGTTAATGGACAATCCTACCTTTTGTTCATTTTGGTACATGATATTTTTCATTCTACAACAGATGTCAATGTTCTTGGTCTTGTTAATGTCGGTGTCAAGAACTTTAGCCATCATGTTTCCTTTCTTTAGAATTAATAAAAGAGCTGTTATTCTATTGATACCTGTCTACGCGGCGTATTTGATTTTGTGGTTCACAGTAAACTTTTACAATGCCAAGTCGGTCTTCACAGTCAATCAGTCAATCACCTCTTGGATATTGCATACAGCATCCACTACAATATCTGCATTGGCATTCCCCCGATAATAATAACAGTGGCTTTCACTGTTACAATTACGAAACTTACAACGGGACAAAAAGATCTTCAATCACTATCGAGGAAAAATAACTTTCAAGCATCCGTGACGATATCCTACTTTACAGCAGTGTTTCTGGCTTGTAATTTGGCGGCTTTCACAAATGGAGTTTTGTATTTCGTTACTGCGAGGATTCTCAACAATACTACACTGCTAAAATCGGCAGAGTTCATGAGATTTTATTGGTGGTTTTATATGTCTAATCTTTTCTGCATGGTGTTAAATGCGGCGCTGAACCCGATTCTATATTTCTGGCGGATGAAAGAACTGAAACAATTCGTCTTGAACTTCGACTAAAGGATGCAAGAAATATTTACATCTTTAGCATAAAACATCAAATGGTTAATCGCTCAGCGCTGTTAATACAGGATCTTTTCGAGCAGTAGAAGACGACTATGGTTTCTGTTGTAAAATAAGAGTCCAACATTATCTATATAATTGTTGGAGACAATGGCGTGGAGGCATATATTATAACGCTAGGTGTATCTACCGGTTCATCATTTATCTCTTTCTGCTATTCTGGTTATTGTATTACTCTAAGGAATTAATATCCGATGACACGGATTTACTAATTTGAACACTCACTGCGGGTGGTTGATTAGTTAATCGCACAAATTTTAAACTACAAAATATTGATAAAAATGATACCACCGCAGCTAGCTGTACGTGACAGTAATTTGTTAAACGTATTTGGTGTGAAGACGAAGCCTCATTTTTAGATTGTATATTTTAACGTAGAACTATCCACAAACCACAGGATGTGGGTGTATTAAAAGCCTGACTGCTTTAGGGCAGGATTAAATATTTAACTTCAGTTCGACTGAAATCATTTTTAACTTCAAACTTGTATTCAAATATTGAGTCCTAAGAAACTTCTTGATTATTTATTTTCGCTGCAAATTACAACAAAATAAGCTGTCATACCAGAATTGTAGCATAAAGAACCGCTATTTTTGCATTCCAAGGTAATTACCGATGGTAGCTTCGCTTCACATTATATTCTAATCAAGTGCATTACTGCTAATTATTGTATAACAGCCTCTGATTAGCGTGAGCCATTTCTATCACACTCTTCTCACAGACCAGATTGTTCATTTCTCAGGATACAACTCAATTGTGCGCTCAGATACTTTTATTCCTCTTTTGTTTTTCGATTATCTTGGATAACTTAAATAATGTTTGAACTTTGACGCCTTCAAGTCGGATAAATTACTTCAGAGATCACTGGATCAAAAATATATTTTTCATCCGATGATATTAACAAAGATTTGTCAGACTTGAAAGCGTCAAAAATTATAAGCTTTTGTCAAAGTTAAATTCTCAAGATTCTTTTATAAATATTATTACGCTGTCTCACTTGTTCCACAATAAAAAACGATCGCAACCCCAGTATAGGGGCAGTTAAGATTGAAGGCATTTCTGTGAAACACTTTCTAGTTACTAGTCATTTCACTTTCACTGTCAAAAGTTTCATGGCACTCAAAGTCATTTTCACCACACTTTAAAAAAAGGTGTAAATAGTAGGGTATTTATAAAACACATTATTAGGCCGTCTTAGATCCTGAAATAAGTGCCAGGAGTCAGTGTTGTGGATTATATTACTAATAGTAATACTTGCTTTAAAAATTGTAAATAGTTGGATAATTGTAAAACACAGTATTTGGCCGTCTTAGATCCTGAAATTAGTGCCAGGAGTCAGTTTTGTAGGTTATCTTACTGGCTTTAAGAACTGTAGAATTAAAGTAAAATAAACAACATCTCGAAATTCAGAATCCTTTACTCTTTTGTTTTAATTTTATACTCACTCAATTCTGTGACAAAGTTAAACTTGTAAATTGCATTTGGACGCTCTGGGTTAAGGTTATCCTTGATCCATGAAAACTTCTGCGTCATGAAAAATTACATTTACAGTGTCACGTTTGTGGCTAACTAAAGTGCAAAAGCAATTAAATATCTTCCTTCTCAACTTTTCATTGTTTTATGGACTGAGTGATTTTTCGCACTGTCACACACATCTGGTGGCAGCATTGTTCTGAAATTGCATAAAATAGAGTCATCACCACAGCATCCTCACTTTGAACAATCAACAATCAACATGAAGATCTTTCTAGTTATCTGCCTGGTGGCTGCCTCTCTCGCTGCTGAAGATGTCCTTCGTGGTATTCTCCGATCCCCCAAAGAAACCCTGAAGCTCTACGGGGATTTTAAATCCCAGGAGCACCTCAAGTTCCTTGCATCTGAAGACCGAATGAGGTTCCGACTCTTCCGATCCAATGCTCAGCTGGTAGCTCAAGCTAACGAGGAGGGAGGATCTGCCGTATTTGGCCTCAACTTCTTCTCTGCGCTGACTGAAGATGAGAAGCAACAGTACCTTGGACTGAACGTCACTGGACATGACGAGAACCCTATGCACGTCGCCTCCTCTTCATTCAGTGCCCCCGAAAAGAAACTCTGGACCAATGAGGGTTTGGTTACAGCAGTAAAGAACCAAGGAAGCTGTGGATCTTGCTGGACGTTCGGAGCCGTAGGAGGTTTAGAGACAAGGTACCACGGAGTATCTGGTAAACTGAGGAGTTTCGCAGAGCAGGAATACCTGGACTGTGTCTACGAGGGGCAGAGGAACGGTTGCAACGGTGGATGGCCTGATAACTGTTACGACTACTCCAAGAAGAACGGTGGAAGGTTGGCTTCAACTGCTGACTATGTATACACTCAAAAAGATGGTAGTTGCAAAGGTAGCTCGAAACCTGACGCTATGGTGGCTGCTAAAATCAACGGCTACACCAGTGTTAGCCCAACTGAGGCCGCAAACATTCAAGCCCTTGCATCAGGCTCCTTGTCCGTCGCTTTCGAAGTGACAAATTACTTCCAACAGTACCGAAATGGCATCATAAAAGACACAACATGCACCGGGAGACCAAACCACGCCGTCACAGCTGTTGGATACACGTCGAAGTTCGTCCTGGTAAAGAACTCTTGGGGAGGCAGCTGGGGAGATCGTGGATTTGTGAAATTCGCTCGAGGCTACCCCTCCAATTGCGGCCTCTTCAAATACAGCAGCTACCCCAAACTTGTTACAACCGGACAGTCTGACAACACTCCTTCTGATAAAGCCACCGACTACAGACCTTCTGAAGATGATGATGTTAAACCAGACCCTCAACCTAATCCAGACTGCAAAGACAGGGCATCTAATTGTAGGTCCGATTGGTGCAAGTATGCCAACATAGCCGAGGACTACTGCCAGAAGACTTGTAACAAGTGTGATGGTGGAGATGATGGAGAGTGCCCCAGCGGCACCATTAGATGTTCTGACGGAGTGTGCCGACACGAACACATGTGCTAGATCTCAACCATTTCTTGATGTTTACAATTTCATTTGTTTTTGTATCATTTGGCAAGTAACACATTGCATTGAAACCTTGTTTTATTAATAGCCTCGGGGAAATATGCACTACAAAAATTGGTACAGAGCTGTGAGGCAACCTGTATACTATACAGTGTATAGTACACATATTACGTAAGTGTATAGTACACATATTACGTAATCAGCTGAGGCCGGGGGGGGGGGGGGGGGGGGTTCCGAATGATTTAGCTATGTCTAAAATGACACAATAGCTTTGTGTAAAACTGATTACGGAGGGGGGGGGGGGGGGGGGGGGGGGTGGGGTAAAATTTTCAAGATGCATCCTTAACTAATATTTGACCTGACATTACATTAGTGTGCTCGTATCGGTAACTGGTTTGCCTAGGTACGTGGAGCCATACGAGGGATCGATATCGTCAGTCCATATAATGTGCGAATTTTCATATTTTTAAAACTTAAAAAGCATATTATATCGATGATCCAAACAATTTAAAGGGAAATAAAACAAATGTTTATTCTTGTCCAACGAAAATAAAATTACATAAGGACAGAGTCATTAGTTTCGAATTTATGACAATAATATCATCAATACATTACAAGCAAAAGTTTTAAATATGTACAATTAATTAGTCAATTGGATCACATTGCGCAGTGCTTGTTCCATTGCTAGAGGATTACAGCTGAAAAATGCTCTACGAGCAAGAATAGATGACACGAAAAAACCATTAAATACATTCTAGATATCATTACAACTAATTGAAGGATGTGCAGAATGAGACCAACAAGAATGTATCAATTAATCAACCATTTTCTGTTTCAGATTTGAAGATAATTAATCATTTTTATGTCTTTGAGGGCAAAGTGGCACTTCACGTACCTTATTATGATTTAAATTTTAATTTGACATGCTTTAAAAGAGCCCTTGAGACACACATAACGATAAGAATGGAAATTTATTTTATTACATCGATAAGATTTTTAAATCATGTGGCATCACAAATTCAAAAAATCAGTTTTGTCAGATGAAATTTAAGCACACACGAAAGGTTTTGAATGAATATTATAATTAAAATGTAGCGAAATAATTTATTAAGAGGTCTATAAGGGAAAAATGTGTGAAGATGGAGATTTTCCATAATTTTTACAGTATATTACAAAAACATATGCAACATCCAGACTCTAGAGTGTGCCAGGTTAAAAATGTGCATAAATTTTTCGCTTCAGAAAACAAGATCGAATAAATTAGTGAGGCTAAGTGTCTAATTACAAAACATTAAATTCAACTAATTGGTCAATCAAATTGTTAATTAATATTACGACGCATGCTCAAAGCACATTACACCATAACTCAAAAAAACCGGAAACCCGAACTGCAAATGCTGAGGAAATAACGATGCTGATGTGTTAAATTAACTAAAATCCTTGTCCATGTTAATAATTTGCTAATTGATTGGTTAACAATTTAAGTCGTGCCACGTAAGTCGAAGCAAGCGAGCCAACCGTTATCACTGATTCTTTATTGGGGATCCTTTTTCTTTTTAGTCTGACTTACTATGACACCTGGGCAGAAACTTGGTTAAAATTTAAGCCAGAATAGAATGCTTGGGAGGTGGGATTCAATGTATGACTATACAATATTCAATTTAACGGAAAAGTAGCTGTGACGTGACTTAACAGTGGTAGTCAAGTTATAAATTATTGTATTTTAAGTGGAAAATTTCATCAATGTTTTAAAGAGCATCATTTATGATAACAAAAGCTTTTTTTTATTTAATCAGAAAACAAGAAATCATACCTAAAAAGAAATATATTGAAATAATTGTAATGAATGGCCGCGAAGTTCAGTTTCAGGTCGAAGTTTCGCGTATGAAAGTGAAAATCTTACCGATTATTACTCCAAGCACAATAACTGCCACCACTCCGATCACTATCATAAACTGAAACAGAATATTATTATATTTACTGCACACAAGCGACAAAATCAAGATCGACAGCCAAAATTTCTCGCCCAGGTAATTTCTATTATAAAGAAGAAATAAATATAGATATATGCTAAGGTAGAAATATTTATTATAAACCAAATCAGGAACCATAAACTAAGATGTAGGTAGTAAGGGACTGATATTCTAAAAACAACATATTAATTTGAACAGCATGTCATTTAACTTTCGTACCTTGACGTTCTTCCACCACATTTTACGTTTCAACTGCGTTCCAGTCTGGAGAAACTGATTAGCACCAACTTGCAGAGCATCTGAAAGAATGCACGTGTAATTACCTAATTAATTGGATATCTAATCGTGCAAACATTGCAAGTTGTAAATGGCTGGCTTGACAGTAGAGAATTAATTGCCGGTACGTGTTGTAAATTACATTGCGCGCAATAAAAACGTACGTTCGCGCAGACGAGCCAATAATTAAACGTTCGGCGGCTAGTTTGTGAGTGTAACTGGTATTTGTGTCCCGCATAGAATGCGATCATTTCATTGACACTTTATGTTTCTATTCCATCATGATACAATGTCACTCAGAGAAGTTCCTTCTCGCTAATTGATCTGACTTATCGTTATAAGACAGTGACTGCAATTCTTATGAATAGCTCTGTCATTAGGGAATTTATCATGACACGCTATTTAACATTACTGTTTACAGTTTCCTGATATCAAATTTCATCGGGCATGATTTTCAATTTTAGAGGCGAATTTTTGATGATCAACCAAATTTTTCGGGCACAATTGATCAAAAGGCACTGATCATCGTAAAGCAATTTCCTGGCAGGTGAACTCATCCAATGCTGTGAAAAACAAATACTTTTTCCGTAAAAGACCATGTCAATGATATCGTTATGAGTATTGAGTAAGCAAATTTTATCAAACTTGATGCTTTTCTAGGATTAACATATAAACATACTTGAGAATGATAATGTTAGCACCTCAAGTTAGAATTATTACATGTACATGTGAGTTGTGACAAAGCTTTCGTATGCATCAAAATAATTAAATTTGGTCAATGTAAAAAATGAGATAAGAAGAAGACCCAAATTATGTAGTATCTAAGCTTAAGTTAAGATCTCTGAAAATTACAGAAAAGAGCCTCACGGTTTTTCTGCTCGATACGCTAGGAACTCTAAACATACGTTACAAAAAGTATTTTTGACCGTAGAATCGATTAAAAGTGATCTGGTAACGATTGGATTACTAAGAATCTCTAAAAATCCACAAATTTTAAATCTGTACACTAATGGGTCCAAGTTACTGCGGACATAGTTCACTATGTGTTTACCGTGTTTGGGTGCCCATCATATTTTACAGATGGGGGCGATATTTTGAACGATTCTATTTTATATTCATCTATTGCTGTACTCTGTAAAATTTGAAAAGTATTTAATAAATAGTACATAATTAATTAGACATAGTCAAAGATAGTTTGATATCAATAAATAGGGTAACGACAATACTTTAGGTGATTCCTATTACTTCTCAGCGCACCCAGAAACTTCATCATACATATTATGTAAACTCATTCAATTAAGTACTGGATTATTGTACATTGTATATGTAACGTTCATTGTATATTTTACATTATTGTACAATAAGTACATATTGTAACTTGCATTGTTTTATGTTTTCGAACAGTCAATTCGTTTAAGAATTCGAATATAAAAGATAATATTAAATAATAACAGAGATAATATATATATAAATAATATAATCTTACCTGAGCGTTCGTTAAGGTTCTGTATTTTAGAGTCTCTTTCCAGAACTTTATCAATATTATTCCTCATTATCCCCATCACCTGGTCCACCTGATCCTGGGTCTCACGAGTCTGGTAGCCCGCTCCTGATCTACAGGTTTATTGTTTGTCACGTGACTTATAAATTGTCACGTGATTTATAAATTGTCACGTGACTTATAAATTGTCAAGTGACTTATAAATTGTCACGTGACTCATCAATTTTCACGTGACTCATCAATTGTCGCGTGATTTAACTGTTATTGATGATAGCAGTATGTTTGTAGATCGCCAAATGGTTTTGAGGCTATTGGGAGGCTATTTTAGTATTTTAGTATTTTCATGACAATTACGTTTTTGAAAATTTTCTGCATTCTCCGTGTTTCGTAAAACCCGTGGCCGTAATAGTTTTAAAATTCACTAAATTAAAATTGTGCATTTTTAACCAATAACCATTAGTAAAGTGTAAAGTGACTAGATAACTTTATAAATTAACTCAATTAACTAAATTACTCAGTACTCACCCTCCAAGAAGCTTATCCCTACTGCCATCATTAGCCCTGAAATACAATTATTAAGTAAGTTATAAAAGTAGTACAATACTGAGTAATTACCTCAATTTGAGTAAAAGTAATATTATGTCTGTTAAATTCCGTGTACTTTCGGTTTCAGTCAGAACTAAGGATCTAAATTTAAAGATTGTGACTAATTTTAAATTCTGCTATCTTATCTAGAAGTACGATTCAAAGTGTTATCGTTTGAAAGATTTAATGTGCACTAAAATGTCTAATGATAGAGATTAGAGCGTTTGCTTTTTTATGAGTAACAGACTTGTAAAGAATTTTAAAAATTAAAAAATCTTAATTTCCCTCGAACTCTATGATTATTAGAAGTCAGAGTACCAGCGTTTTTTTAGAACGGAGCTTTTAAGATTTAAGAATGTTAACTGTTAACTAACCACCTTTAACAACCACTAACCACCCTTAACAACCACTAACCACCCTTAACAACCACTAACCACCCTTAACAACCACTAACCACCCTTAACAACCACTAACCATTTAACAGATATAACGGTACACACATATAATTGACAAGGCCACCAACTGAGGTATCATCACCCGTAACACCCGTTACACCCGTTAATAGCTACTAACCACTAACCACCTTAAGTAACCACTAACCACCTGACATCTGCAGGTATCAGTACACATATTGACAAGGCCACTAACCGAGGTATCATATATTACATCACCCGTTACACCTACAGCTACAGCCACCTTACTCAATAGCCCTATCATTTAGCTTTAAGAGCTTAAAGCACACATCCATATTTGGTATAATTACTGATTAATGAGCTTTTTAGTACAACTCGGCTGTTGCACGAGGGGTGTCACGAGGGGTGTCACGAGGGGTTTCACGAGGGGTGTCATTATATAGTGCAGGCTGGGGTCCCCTGTAGAGCGTAACTAAACGGTTAGACCTCAGAGTGCAAGTGGGGGTACTAGTGGGGTTTGGAGGTAATTGTGGGGGTACTAGTGGGGTTTGGAGGTAATTGTGGGGGTACTAGTGGGGTTTGGAGGTAATTGTGGGGGTACTAGTGGGGTTTGGAGGTAATTGTGGGGGTACTAGTGGGGTTTGGAGGTAATTGTGGGGGTACTAGTGGGGTTTGGAGGTAATTGTGGGGGTACTAGTGGGGTTTGGAGGTAATTGTGGGGGTACTAGTGGGGTTTGGAGGTAATTGTGGGGGTACTAGTGGGGTTTGGAGGTAATTGTGGGGGTACTGGTGGGGTTTGGAGGTAATTGTGGGGGTACTAGTATAGTGGGGTTTGGAGGTAACTGTGGGGGTACTAGTGGGGTTTGGAGGTAATTGTGGGGAAGAATTAGTGGATTTTTGGAATGTTATGTGGAATGTGGTAATGATATCATGTGGATTGTTTGGTTGTTTAATTTGAGATATTTTGGAGATGTAAGGGTTGGTCTGTGATGTTAAGTTATTGAGTGGAGAAATTTTAACGGGACAACAGTATCGAACATGAATTATTGTTATGTGAAGATTATATGTAGAGATACATTTAAAGTTTATAGGGATAATTTTATACCTACACTTTATTCAGTAAACAAGTTTAATGTGTGTCGTGTTGAATGTGTTAGATAGCTCTGCAAAACTTAAAGTTGTCAGTTTGTTTCAATGATTAGAAATAGCTCGTTATGATCTTCACTGGAGCTGTAATATTAATAAATTTTTAAATTAAAAAAATATATAAAGTAAAATGTCGACACATATTCATTAAATCCATACCTTTATTAATATAATAAAAGTGACATATTTTAAAAGGTGCTGTAAATAATGCAGTAACTTATATTGTGGGACTGTTAGCGGTAGCCCTATTTATCGATGAACAGATGTTGATTATACACAACTTTTTTGTACATTATTACAAGACGTACACGATATCACAACTTCAAGTCCTTAATATATTATTAAATACTTTCAAAATTTTAGTACAGTAATAGATGATCATAAAATAAAACCGTTCGAAAATATTGCCCCAGCTGTAAAATGGGCACCCAAACACGGTAAACACATTGCGAGCTATGTCCGCAATTAAATCAACATGTTCCAGACCCATCTAATAAATGAAGTAACTAAATTAGTAATTAGGCACCAAGTTCTTAAATAGCTCTAAGTTTCACGAGATAAAGTGACATCACCGATGATTAAATTTAAGTTGTATGAGATTTAAATTTACAATATACTCTCTAAATTTGACTTTTCTATGGAATATAAATAACAATGTTATAAAGGTAGTACTAGTATTATCGTTTTAATTGCTAAATTTGTACTCATGAACAGGAATCGACCGGGATTCCCGCTACCGGAATCCCGGTACCGGGATTGGAAATTTTGAGCTATCCCGGTCCCGGTCCCGGTCAAATGCTGATTTATGATCCCGGTCCCGGTCAATCACTCAAATTTGCCGGGATTTTGACCGGGATCTTTTACATAATTTCATTCACTGTGATTTTAAGTTTTTCCTTTCATTCTACATTGTGAATTTCATCTTTAAACATCCTCTGAGCCAAATAAAACAATGTTTAAAATTGCTAAACAAGTTTGAGTAATAAATTATGATCATGAATTAACCAGTAATCGACCGGAATTCCCGGTACCGGGTTTGGTAATTTGGAGCTATCCCGGTCCCGGTCCCGGTCCCGGTCAAGTCACATTTTCATCCCGGTCCCGGTCAAATGCTGATTTATGATCCCGGTCCCGGTCCTGGTTAATTCAGGATCTCTGGTCCCGGCCCCGGTCAATCACTCAAATTTGCCGGGATTTTGACCGGGATCTTTTACATAATTTCATTCACTGTGATTTTAAGTTTTTCCTTTCATTCATTGTGAATTTCATCTTTAAACATCCTCTGAGCCAAATAAAACAATGTTTAAAATTGCTAAACAAGTTTGAGTAATAAATTATGATCATGAATTAACCAGTAATCGACCGGAATTCCCGGTACCGGGTTTGGCAATTGGAGCTATCCCGGTCCCGGTCCCGGTCAAGTCACATTTTCATCCCGGTCCCGGTCAAATGCTGATTTATGATCCCGGTCCCGGTCCTGGTTAATTCAGGATTCTTGGTCCCGGCCTCGGTCCCGGTCAGGCCTGAAATCATGTCCCGGTCGATTCCTGCTTATGAACAAGTTGATAGATCAACTTGTTTAGGAGGTATTTGCACTCAGCACTGTATAACTTGCTAATAGTAATAGTTAGTTAACTTAAGCTCATGAGTTAGAAGAAGATAATAATAAATTAATACTATTCCAATTAAATTATAAGTTCACCTAGTTCGTTTTACCTTGAACTTTATTTTACCAGTGTAAACAAATTCTTAACATTTGCAGTTTGCACGTTGGGCAAATTAGGCTTATTTTATGACTTGAAGGAAAATTGTTCAGTAAACCCTATGACCAATAATACGCCCAAGATTATTACTTTAACTTTTCTTTGAGTTCTGCTGGGAGCTTATTTGGGTGTTATTTGCAGGGGTGAGCTTCATTTAATCCTGTGAAAAACCATCTGTTAATCGATTAATTAATTGATCAATGAATTCTAGTTGTACTCACATCTTAGCAGGTTGCTTTGAGTCAAGGAGGTGGGATTTTTCCTCAGTAGGCTCCAATATGACAGATAAGCATGCGCTAGATTTCTAAAGAGTAGGTGGTTACAATTTAGAATATAATAAAACGAATATATTATAGATTCTATAAAAACGAATGCAATCACATAACAGTAGTAAATGTAATAAATAGAACTGTAAATCGAACTAGCTGGAAATCGGGTTTATGGCCTTATCTCTATGTAAGTGCACAATATGTGTTGTAGATAATCAGCAGTTAAAACTGGAACAAGTCTGGGTCTGAGGAGTATATATTTTGTAACAAACCCACACTAACTAATAATAATTCTAATAACTAGGTAAGAACAATAGATTTTAGTGAAAGTTGAAGTTCATGATTCATAACTAAGTAAATTTTATAACAAATTAAAGTAATTAAATATGATTGAGTCTTTTTTTTTTTTAAAAAAAAAAAAAAAAAAAAAAAAAAAAAAAAATATATATATATATATGATTGAGTCAAACATCTGGATTATTCTTCATTATCAGATTGAGTGTGGATATTGTAAATTATGGTGAACTGATTGGATTCGTTATGAAAATAATCACACAGTGGCGTAACTTTGCATGTTAGCATGCACCCGGTCCCCCTGCACAGTAGGGTCAGTGGGCCCTTTGTAACACCACTGTACAAGCTGGGCTGCAACAAGGCACAGTTTAATAACTCAAAATTGGACTCTCATTTTTGTTTGTTTAATCTTTCCAAGACACAATCCCTGATTAGTTCGAATGAGCTCATACTTGGACGTCATACTTGGACGTCATACTTGGACGTCATACTTGGACCTCATACTTGGACCTCATACTTATACTTAGACCTCATGCTTGGACCTCATACTTGGACCTCATACTTGGACCAGATAACAATTGTAGATTGAGGTAAAGAGTGATCATGTGATCGCCGCGTGAAGTTTTATAAATGCACGGCGAACCTTCAAGCTTAAATTATTCACCTTACTGAGGCAGCCAACCGACCAAGGCTTTATTTCTATGATATGATATGTTTTGATTGTTATTAATACCAAAATTTAAAACTTGTTTTCCTTATTGAGGCTAGATCCGCATTATGGGAATCGTGCAGAGAGCCCAATTACGGTGTCTTAATTGGGTAATCATTGATTTCCCAATCAATTTTGCTATAGAGATAAGCAAATTGCTTGATACTTTGATAACTTCGTCATTTTAAATCCGTTTCGCACAATCTTTTCAGATTATATTCTGGATTAATTAATGTTCTATTGCAATATGTTCCAACAGAGTCTCTAACATGTTCACAAACACAAGTATAAGTAATTGTTGTCGGTATATTGTCTATTATCTGCGTTCTGCTTTCATAGTTTCAACAATAGTGAGTTCTAAATATACAGCTTTAAACCGACTACGTATAAATGTATGAAATACCTGACAATCCGTATTCTTATAAATCAAGAGCATGAGTAACTCGTGATAGTATGATGTATGATTATTAAAAACTCGTGATCATGTGATCGCTGGGTGAGGTTTTGTGAATGCGCGGTGCACCTTCAAGCTTAAATTATTCACCTTACTGAGGCAGCCAACCAACGCACAACTTCATTTCTATGATATGATATGTTTTGATAATTCAATGTTAATTGGGTTGGCCCCCAAAAACTGAATTTTAAAATTTTGGTGACAGAATCCTCGAACAATGAAACATGAAATTTGATGAAACAATAAATTTGATTTTAACACATTTTACAGAATCAACAAATTTAGGGGGGATCAACCTCATTTTACCTCATTTTACCTCATCCCAATTTTGCCTTTTTTGGCTGCCCGAATGAGGTAAAATGAGGTAAATTTCGGCAAAAATTTTATAGATCATGACTCTCATTCTTAAATAATTTTGCCGATAATCAGGTTAGTTTACTCAAATCAGACATCCTGAGCTACTTGCCAGTGATTTAGTCTTATTCATGGTACTGGTAGAGCACAGCAAGGCCGACCAAGACAAAGCTACTTGTCTCTTTGTCTATGTTCCTGAAGGAAATTGGGACAAATTCTAAAGAGGAACCGCGAACCCTGATACGGGACAGGGATATAGAGGGGGTTATCTGGCATAGATCGGACTTAGTTCTGACATAGTAGTAGTAACTTAGCAGCAGTAGTAGTAGTACTAGCAGTAGTAATAGTAGTAGTAGTAGTAGTATAGTAGTAGTAGTAGTAGTAGTAACAGGACTAGTCAAGCAATACTATTTTAGTTTTTTCAAGTAAAATACGAAATATTAGGTTGGCTTTAAAACGTTTTGGTCAGAAGTGATGATATTAGTATACGATACCAATAATAAAAATTAATGATTTCCTATAAAATAATTTGAGTTAATTAGCAAAAAGCAAATATTTGATTTCGATTACAAAAGTTACCTTTAAGTTTTAAACCAAATTGGTACATGATAGAAACCTTTTAATGAATTATCTAGTACGTTAACGTTAAGGGGGCAGGGCACAGGAAGGACAAAGTGCAAAGAAACTACTGCTAACTGCTGCTCATGCTCACTGCTGCTCACTGCTGCTCACTGCTGCTCACTGCTGATCACTGCTGATCACTGCTGCTCACTGCCGCTAACTGTTGCTCACTGCTGCTCACTGCTGCTCATTGCTGCTCACTGCTGCTCACTGCTGCTCACTGCTGCTCACAGGAGGGGCAGCAGTTTCTTTGCACTTTGCCCCTCCTGTGAGGGGGGTCTTTATGAAATTTCTCTCGAAATTGATTTTATAGTTGTTTTTGATAGAGGGGAGTGATATCTACTAGTTGTTTTCGGTCCCATGGAAAAAAATTTTTCCTAGCCGAAATTATTGCCGGTCAAAGGTCAGCACTCATGTGTAATTGTATTGCGCGAGCGATTATCAATCGCAAGCCCTGAAAATTGCGTCTAAAAATCTATCTTCTCCTAAATTTTTTGAGCAATCACCTTGAAACTTTCAGCATATGTTCTAAGGACCATTTAGAAACTTCTGGTCAATCAGAATTTTAAGATAGGCCCTAGAAAATTTTTATTCGATTTTGAAAATCTTGGACCTCGTTTTTTGACGATTTTTCCAGGTTATTTTTATCACTGTGAAGGAGGAGGACTGAGGAGAACTGAGGCGAAGGAGGAGAAGTACAGAAATGGGGGAGGACTGAGGAGGAGGAGGACTGATGAGGAGGAGGACTAAGGAGAAGGAGGAGGAGAAGGACTGAGGAGGAGGACTGAGGAGGAAGAGGAGGAAAATGAAGAGGAGGACTGAGGAGGAGGGCTGAGGAGGATGGCTGAGGAGGATGACTGAGGAGGCCGAGGATGACTGAGAAGTAGGAGGGGGAGGAGGAGGAGGAGCCCATCTCCAGAAAGTTGAGAACTTGCTAGGAACCTACAATATTTTGCTGAAAAATTATGTTTATGCTGAAAACCGAAGTTCGTTTTAAATGTTGCCATAATTTGGTGTAGATTGTTTTAAAGAACTTGTGCAAATTTCTTCGAAGTAATAATTGCTTCAGGGTAATACGTAAGCTACGCAGTCATATTAATATTAATAAAATGTTTCAAACAGTGTACACATAATGTCACAATGACCCTATATAAAAAACTCTTCAAAAATTCAATATTTTGAAAATCACCCTTGGCCTTGCAGCTCTAAGTTCAAATCTAAACTGTCTATATTGACAAAGTTTTTTCTCGCCCCTCTGTCTCCCCGGAGAGAAATTACCGTCGTTCTTAAGATTTCGAAACGAAGGCGCTTCCTAATGTATCCCACCGCATAGACTGAGTACCTCTGCCCTGTGTGGTATTCCATCTTACTAGCCAGCTTCTTTACTAGTCTTTCAGCTTCACCACCCATTCCACCAGACGTTGAGAAAACTAACGGCGTGAAGCTTCCTTTCTCTACGTCCAGGACCCTTGCATTGTAACACCGTTTTTTCTCATTTTCATGGGACTGTTACATTGCTGGGATCGATTTGCTTGCATTGGAGGGGGCTGGGGCATGGAATACCCTTACATCAAAAAACGCCCTCTCTGAAGCATCAGTGGCGTAACGTTGCCTGTTGGCGCCCCCCTGCCGAAAAGGCACCCCCCCTGTTGGCGCCCCCTCTCCTTTTGGTGCCCCTCCCTAAAATTGAACAAATTAGGCGATTTAAGAGGATACGCCGGTAAAATCTCTAAAAAAGTGTGTATCTAGAGCAAAACGCGCAGTTTTGCTAGTACTTTAGTTAAGTTTTCGAAATTGTCCCACATTCAAACGACGATTTGGCGCCCCCCTAAGACGGCGCCCCCCTGCACAGCGGGGTCAGCAGGGCCCTTGGTTACGCCACTGTGAAGCATTCCAAATCGATCTTGCAGAAATGTCCAGCCTAGCTTGGTCTCCTAGGACTGTTCCCTTTGGCAGCTCTAGACCATCAACTGGAAGAAGAACTGGTTTAGTCTGCACATCCTTGCATTTCACAGTTCTCATTAAGTAAAAACAAAAAAAAAAAAAAACAAAAATTTAGTTCTGCAAAGGTGTCTCTCAACGAGTTGTGCCGCAGTGACACATATCCACCAAGTTTGCAGATGAGCGCATGGTTTGCTGAATATTTCTGGCCACACGTACATGTTTTAGGGCAATCCCTTAAGTCATATTAATATTATCTTCAATCGGTGTGTCTATAAATGCAAAGCATTGGATCCCAAAGTAAAGATCAAAAAAGTGAGAGGTAAATCTGAAAATTCATAAAGAAAAAATGTAAGGGACTCAATATAACTAGTTGTTTATGTAGCCCTCGATTTTACAGTGCGGCATAAATTAATCAGTTAAAATACTAAATAGGCGCGCGGCGCATAAATTAAAATATGCGCGGCGCGCCAATTTTTTATTTCAATTTTTTATTTTACATTTTATGCATATCATTTAAACCAAAAAGAGTCATCACGCAGAATGAAGAGTGTGTTACAGTTTTTTGCCCATAGAAGTATCCTTCATCTAGGAGGTGCACCATAAAAATAAACTTGCTCGGATTTTAAAAATTTTTGTACCATTGTTTTCTAGAGACTGTG